GTCGTCGCTCTCGTGCGCGTTCACACGCGGTCAATGCGCGACCGGAAAGATGCGCATAAGAGCGGAAGCTCACTCGCAGCTACGTATTCAGACGAGGACGTCTCGCTTGCGACATGTAACGATCGCATATTTTTACAAAATTTCTATTTATACAGAAAAAAAAGTGTTCACTCTCTCTCTTTCTTTTTCTCTGAATAAAAATTCCGACTTGGGAAAAAGCCGTGCTGCGTGCATTGTCGACGATACGGGAAAGTTGCCGGATGTTTCGAGCAATGACACATAATGTGTATCTGTGAGTGTGTAATCTGTGAGCAAGTAGACACACACACACACACACACACACACACACACACACACACACACACACACACACACACACACACACACACACACACACACACACACACACACACACACACACACACACACACACACACACACACACACACACATATATATGTATATATATATATATATGTATGTATGTATGTATATATATATGTATAACCCGTAGAAATAATTAAAAACTTTTATTATTAAATCACGCGTGAATAGCGAAGAAATAATTGTAATATTAAGTTACATGAAAATGATTATGTAAAATGGTTATGTTATGATTTAAAAAAAATAAAATTGATGCAAGAAAATACAAAAGAAAAACTCGGGCATAAATAAGTCGGTGAAACATAAATAAATTCGCTTTCTCATTTGATAACAAATTATCAAGATTCTTTAAGAACAACGCAACTACATCATATTTTCAAGAATGCGGTGGCATAATCGCCGATGGATGTAATTACTCCGTTTCTTCCGTTCAGTTCAAATTCTAATCGCTAGTAATTTCGTAAATACTTTTTATCATAACTCGCATATATGTACACAATTGGAAATAGTTCCACATTTCAATGATAAAGTCGACATTTGTGTATGTAACAATACTCATCATAACAGTCGAAGCCAAATAACGGTCATTATTTAATGGTATTGTACGTAATAATTTGTAATTCTTAAAATGCTGTGCCTTGATAAAAATGTTAAAATTTTTTAAAATAATTTACTAAAATAACTCGTAATATATATATA